TACCTATTTACACTGATATGTCCCTATGTTATGTTCATACTTATACTTGTTTTCTCATACATGCTTGACAAACTAAATAAAACAAAAAAATAAAACAAACAATCCCACCAACTTCATCCCAATGTACCCAAACCACACTTCTCCTACCCAACTCTTGTGCCTAAAAGGTCTGTATGCAAACCACCTTCAGTACAACCAGTACAATAATTCCCTCACCACTGTCAAACTATTCAGTAAGGCTGCATTACAATTACTATTAGTCTTCTCATCGTTCCTCTCCCCCATCCCCTCCCACTTATAACTGCTGGACTGTGACTTTGGTGTTTGTATCCTTACTATTGATATTGTTTCCTGATTGTTTATTTGTACCCTAATGACCATTATTAACCTTTGTACCTTATGATTCTTGACAAATGTATCTTGTCTTTTTATGTACACTGAGAGCATCTGCACCAGAGACAAACTCCTTGAGTCTCCAATCACACTTGGCCAATAAAGAATTATATTCTATTCTACCAGACCTACAAACACACATTCCTAGTTATCATCTGCCCTCAAACACGCACACACACACAAAACTTACCTCATCGGCACTCAACTCCTCCATAGTTTTCCTCTTAATGGTGGAAGGCGTTTGGGGGAGAGGAGGAGGGCTCCGGTGCTTCCCTTGAGGGAGGTGCTTGGATGGAGCAGGATGAAGAGGAAGAAATGGCTTTCGGAGGTTAACCCTTGTCCTGGTGGCTGCCTCTTTCCCTAAGGAGCTCTCAGAAGTGCATAGTCAAGAGGTTTAAGAAGCAACCCCGTCCGTCCACGTCCCCCCACCTACTACCAACTCCGAATTGATAGATCTGCCTTTAGGTCCTTCCTCTCCGAGCTCGTATCGCCTCAACTGCATCCACCGCCCTCCCTCCAAGCCGGATTGCTCCTCCCCTTCACCTCCTCTTCCTCCAGACCCAGCTGGGGTATCTAAACTGCTCCCCCACTCTAATCCAGGGGTTGGGAGCGTCCTATGGCCGCCACCCTCAGAAGGCTCCCCTCCTTCGCTTTTGCACCCAGCGCTCCTTCCTCCCTAGCTGCATCTGATGCCCTTACCTGTCCTATTGCCCTAACCTGTCCTGAGGGACCCCACCCCCACCTTTAGAAACACCACACGCGCACCCGACTACCTCACTCCTCTTCGGGGGTCCCAAGGGAGCCACTGGGCCTCGGGCCTCCCCCCCGCTGCTGCTTCTCCCCCGAGCCTTGTGGATGCGCCAGCGGCCCCGGGGGTCCCATAGGGAGCCCCTTCCCCTCGCTTTTTCTCCTCAACCACTAGGCCCGCTGCGAAGGGCAGGCTGGTAGGACCCCCCCTCACTCGTCTCTCTCTCTCTCTCCTCCCTTGGCCCTGACGAACCCCCCCCCCCAAACTCTCCTGGCCCGAATGAGGCGGTCGGGGAGGCAACGCTCAGCGGCTGAAGCCCCCGCGCCTCCCAACTCCCGCCCACGCGTGACCGCCGGAGCCCCACTTTCCCCTCAGCCGCTGCTGCTGCCGCCTCCCCTCACGGAGATTATTCATCAAAACAAGAAGGCGGCGGCGGCGGCGGCCATCTTGGCGTCGGATCACGTGACCTGCGCTCCGCTCGCGCCGTGCGTGCGTTGCGTTGGAGCGCGCGCGAGAGCCCAGGACGCATGCGCGGCCGTCGAAAGTCCCCGATGAGGTGGAAAAGAAACTCCCACCCCCAAACATCTTTCACTCGTGAATGATGGGTTGCTTTCACCAATAGCAGTAAGGAAGAGGCCTTCCAAGTCGACTATAAACTATCATCAGTTCGGGAGCTAGCCAATGGGGAGAGAGAGAGAGAGAGAGAGAGAGAGAGAGAGAGAGAGNAGCCAACTCCCCTTAACAGCTGTGTTACTAATTTAACAACTGTACTGATTTCCCTTGACAACTAAGGCTAGAAAGCTCGTAAAATGGAGCAAGACTCACTTTGCTGCTGTCTCGCTTGGCGACATACATTTTTGGGCTCAAATCAAGGACCTCCAGTATGAAAACGGACCAAAAAATTTCAATCCGTAATATTACACTATAATACTCACTGTAGTTAGGATCGCTTTCGCACAAAGCTGGAAACAAATCAATAGACCCGCAGAGGAAACAAACATTAGAAAGGTACTTGAATGTGCAGAGATGGACAAAATGACCATGGAATTAAAAGAAAGAGAAGAATCGGATTTCTATAAAATATGGAATGGAATTTGTAAGTGGCTAGAAAACAGAAGCCCAAACAGGAAATAGAAGTCTTTGTGCTTTTTTCCCCCTGAACTAGTATTGAATTAAAAATTAACCATAGTTACTGATGACTATCAAACTTAAAATATAAATGGTGATATATCGTAAATATAATGGTGATATGAACAAGTAATATTAATACAAGTGTTAGTACAACTGTTATTGCACTATTACAGAAGTTAAAATCGATAGGTAGGCAATGGAGAATGGAGACATAACTTTGAATGACTCAGAGAGAAAGAGGCTATAAACCCATTGCAGGAAGCACTAAGAAAAGTAGTACACGATAAAAAGATTCGGCCACTGACCAAAATTTAGGTCAAGGTAGTTTGTTTTCATCAGAGAGACATTGACAGGGTTCACAGAAATTAGGCTGAAATTATTATTTTCCTGCAAAGAATTGTCTGTCTTGACGTAAGCTGCACTTCAGGCTGGGTATTTCTTGGCCAGAAAAATGTTAAAAAGAAACGTTCTTATACTAGGCCAAATCACGGGCCTGGCTAATCCAATGATTCCTAATCTTTGTAAGGTCTGGATGTATGGCCTTCAAACTGCTCACTCCTATTGAGTAGGCTCAATACTGGCCATGCTGGGAAGTTTGGGAGTCTGTACATCAGAAAGAAATGGAGGTAGTGACAAATTTTATTTTCCTGGGCTCCAAGATCATCGCAGATGGGGACTGCAGCCAAGAAATTAAAAGAGGAGGAAAGCGATGGCAAATCTAGACAGCATCCTAAAAAGCAGAGACAGCATCCTGACAACAAAAGTGAACATAGTCAAGGCTATGATTTTCCCAGTTGCTGTGAAAGTTGGACCATAAGGAAGGCTGAGCACCAAAGAATGGAGGCCTTTGAACTCTGATGCTGGAGAAGACTCCCGCGAGTCCCTTGGACTGCAAGGTGATCCAACCGGTCAGT